TCACTACTATCAACACCAACACCACCACCACCACCACCATCATCACCATCACCAACGCGTCTCGCCTACCTCTTCTTCTTCCACGTCTTCTTCCATCTCGAGCACGAATCACGTTATGCTATCGTCACCGTCGTCGTCGTCCGCGACGACGCCCTCTCTTCACAACGTTCAACCACGGGTTAGAGGCGAACCGATCAGAACCGACCGATGTAGAGATGCACGATCGCACACGTTCGTTCCTTTCGATCGGTTCACCGATCGATTTCCTCGTTTATTCCCGCGTCTCTTTCTTTATTTCGTTTCGCGTCGAATTGGGTACGATAATCGTTGGAGGATATTAATCCTTTGTGCTCGAATGGTGATTCTCGGCCACTACTCGGTTTGATGATTCGATGCCACGTTTTCGAACGGTGACGATATTTATTTGTGTTTGATTTTTTTAAAATATCGCTTCACGAATAGATTCCTAACCTCTTTACGTATAATCTTATGAAGCGTAGGATCGCGGATCGAACTATATTTTTTGTCAGTGGTAATAGTAATATTTTCAAAGTTTTCCAGTTTTTTAAGCATGGAATACAATAATAAGATTAGTTGGAGCAAAAATGAATTTGATTTTTCGTTATTGAACAAGAAAATTATTTCTATTCATTAAGAAATTGATAATAGAGAGAAGGAAAATAGCTATGGAAATAAAGATATGATATAAGAAGATAAAAAATAAGAATAATAGAGGATGAAAAAACATATGTAAAAACATATTATTGGGATCGTAAGATTTGCTCTCAATAAGAAATAAGAAAGATATCAAACGATATTTTATTGCGATACTTGCCCTGATAAACACAAAATGCATCTTAATTACTTTATTATTAAAATATCATACAAAATAACAATATAAACTTTAATATTCAACAAATTTTATTTCTATATACGTAAAGATCTATAAAATATTAAAATATAAAAGTTTTACATTTGTTCATGTGTGAAATCATTTTAAGTTAGCTAAGAAATTCACCGTGCAGGAAATCGTATGGAATTGTTGATTCGACCGAGCGAGAAAAGCCTGGAGCGCAAAGGATTAATAGGAACGAATTCGAAGAAGTTGGATTAAAGATTTTATAATTAGTGATTCTAAAAGATTTGTGTTTCGAAAAGATATTTGTATGATAGTAAAGAAAAGTAAGGATAAGAAGGATAAATTTTTGTTATTCTGTTAATTCTTTCCAACGATTGTGTACCTCTATTCGGATAGCGGCTTGAGTATTTTCTTCTCTTTCACGTTCTCTCTCTTTCTTTCCTTTGATTTCCTTTTCGTTGTTTCTCCTCGTATCATGTCTTTCTCACTGTATGTATCTGCTTGTCTATGTAAGTGTACGTTGTTCTCTCCTCGTTTCACTTCCCACCGATTTTCATTTTATTCCTTATTCCAAATGTATTTGATGTATTTTTAGAAAAATATGAATGTAATTAATTGTTTCGAATAGAAATACGGCCTCTTAAAGTGTTTGTATCAAAGAAAGTATATAGATCGATACGATCGAGCATATTTTTCTCGAAATTACGATAAAAAGCAGTTTATTCTAACCAGGAGAATTTAAATTAAAAAGCTGAATGCGGGTAAATTAATTTGTTTCCTGTTAATCCATCTAACGTAACGTTTTATTTTTAATTATTTGGCTTCGTTTCTATTTTTTTTTTTCTAAAAAAAAATATTCTTTGCATAACCGATTCTTTTTAAAATTTTTGATAATTTTCTAATTTTTTAATTTTTTATTCTTTGGATTTCTTTATATATTTTTTTTTCTTTCTTTTCTCTCTTTATATATTTCTTTTCCTTGCAAACTTTTGTATTCGTTTTTCATATCTTCAACTCCTTTTTTCGATCCTCTCCTCCCCAATTTTTCATATTCTATTAATTTCTTTTCTTCCCGATAGTTTTCTAATCCTCTTTGAATTTTTCTATTTTATTTTTGCGTCTTTTCAAAATTTCCATATCCTCTTCCTAACTCCTTGTATGCAAAAGTAGTTTCCTCTCTCTCTCTCTCTCTCTCTC